GGTGCGGACCATATTGAGGACAGTCTTATTCATGCGCTCAGCTTTGCCGTTTTGTTGAGGAGTGTATGGACAAGAAATGCGCATGGCAATTCCCTCAGATTTGAGAAAAGATTGAAGAAAATGAGAGTGAACATATTCAGCAGCACTGTCAGATTGAAGAGTTTTTATAGAAGTATTGAATTGAGTTTGGACAAGAGTATAGAAGTTAATAAATTTGTGAGGTACCTCAGATTTATGTTTAAGTGGATACTCCCATAAATAATGAGTAAAATCATCAAGAAAAAGGACAAAGTACTTGAAACCACTAAATGAAAGACAGAGAGAAGTCCAAACATCAGTATGGATTAAATCAAAAGTTTTGGAAGTAACCGAAGTAGAAGGCATAAAAGGGAGCTTATGATGCTTCCCAATTTGACAAGCCTGACAAAGACTAAACTTATTTAAGGAAACCACCAAACCAGGAAGGCGGCGATGTGACACTAAGCTAGATAAAACAGAAGAATTGGGGTGACCAAGGCGTTGATGCCAGACATGAGAAGAGACGGAAGCAGTGAATGCCGGACATGATGAAGAAGACGGTGCGGGAGATTGATCCAAAAGGGTGGATGGGAAAGAGTAAAGGGAACCAACACTATTGCAACGTAGACGAGGGTTCCTCGTCCAAAGATCCTTCACAGAAAAACCAAAAGGATCAAACTCAATAGAATATTAATTTTTAGTTGCAAATTGACACACAGAAACAAGATTTTTGGTAAGTGAAGGTACATAATAAACCCTAGGAAAACGAAATTGAGAACAAAGAAGTGTACCAACAGAGTTAATAGGTAAATTTGAACCATTACCAATCACAACTCGAGTAGAACCAAGATAGGGTTTGGAATTAGTAAGAGTACCTTGATTGGGAGTCATAGTATTACCACAAGCCGTGTCCATATACCAAGAAGAATCAACAGACGGAGGGACAGAAAGCCGATTATGTTGATCAACAAAATAAGCGGGCTGTTGGAATTGATAGCAATCCCGGGCAGAATGATTAAACTGGTGGCACAATTGACATCGAACAGGACCCAAATGGGACGAGGAAGAAGGAGGCTGTCCAAGAAGAGAGGGAGCGCGCTGCCTGGGAGTAAACATGAGAGCCGGATAAGAAGAATAAAAATGATAAAACGGAGAAGAGAACTGACCAAAATATTGATTGCGACCACGGCCGCGGTCTCGGCCTCTTGAATTCTGAAAGCCGCGACCCTTCCACGGCCACGACTGGATGAAACAAGAGAAGGAGAAGCGGACGTCGGCTGTTGAGATGAACCAGGTGAAGCAGTCGCCACCAAGGCCGTGGTTGCCGCGGGAGAAGAAGGAGGGGCCATATTCTGAAGCTGCACCTCATGCAAGAACAACATCGAACGAGCCTCAACGAAGGTAGGAAGAGGGACTTTGTGACTGATGGTGGTGGAGACGGATTGATAACCAGCAGGAAGACCGGCGAGAATTTGTAGAACCAAATCAGAGTCGGAGATGGAACAACTGAAAGCGGTCAAAGAGTTAGCCAACATCTTCAATTGAGTGACATAATCATTGATTGTGGAATCACCCTTCTTCAAGCTGTGGAATTGCAGCTTCAAATGGAGAAGCCGGGAGCCAAGTTGGTCATGAAACAGCTTCTCGATCGTAAGCCAGGCATCTCGGGCTGTGAGGGTGGAATTGGGCTTAACGATAGCCTGCAAGATCTCATTGGAAACAGTGGCTTGAATCCACGAGAGCACAATAGAGTCAATTTGGGTCCAAGATTGACAAGCCGAATTGGGAGGGGAAGAACCATCGGAGGCAGCGAGAGTCACCGGTGGACAAGGATTTGAACCGTCAATGTGACCTATGACGGCATGGCCGCGGAAAACAGGAAGAAAGAGTTCCTTCCAAAGCATGTAGTTGGTGAAGTCAAGAACAGGGGTGATGTAGTTCTTAATATTTGAAAGGCCAATGGCCGGATGAGGAGAAGAAGAGGGTGGCAGGGTTGCGGTGTTGGGGGTCGTTTGAAGGTGATCAGAAGATGGAGCTCATGTGACACCGGAGGCGGCCGAATTTGCCATAACAGCAAGAACGTAAAAGGCATACGAAGAAGATCAATCAAAATTTTTTCTTTTTTCAACAAAGAAGGAAAGGAAATTTTCCGGTCAGAGGTGAATTAATATCCAACAGCAGCAACCAAAGCAGGGGAAACAGCAACCGAGAACATATCCATCTTTTTTTCTTTGGCAAAGGGGAAAGAGCAGCGCCGACCGAGGGAAGAGGAAAAGATGGCGGAAAATAAGAAAAAGGACGAAAGAGAAGCTCGGCAGCAGCAAAGGTTCACGCAGCGACAAGGGAGAGGAACAGAGTCGACGGCGGTGGCACGGGAAGAATAATAGGGTAGCCGGCCGAGAAAGAAAAAGAAAAAAGAGAGGACCAGTGACGGTGGCGGCAAGGAAAAAAGAGGAGAAAGAGAGCCTTTTTTTTTGTTGTTTCTTTTTTTTTTTTGTTGGTGCCAGCGGCGGCAAAACAAGAGGAAAGGAGAACCCGACAAAGAAAACTGGTGGCCAAGGGAAAGGGTCGGCGGCTGCAAGAGAAGGGAGGGATAAGGCGGCCAAAGGAGAAGAAGAAGAAAAAGCAGAGTTTTTTTTTTTTTCTTCTTAAGGTAACCTGGCTACGGAGAAAGGATTTCTCACGACCAAAAAGAAGAAATCGGCGGCGCGGGGAAGAGAAAAGAAGGCCGGTCGGAGAAAAGATGGAAGAAAATTAGCGTCCCAGGAAAGCGATTGATACTATGAAAGAATATTTTTCGTGTCTTATTACATGTGTACAACATCATATATATAGTACAAATATTACAATAACTCTAGCCGTGATTATCGGAAACCCTAATTAGGGTTTCCGTATTCTATCAAAAAGAGTTCTGAGACGGATGGATATAGTAGTGAATTCTTTAAGAAAGCATGGGAAATAGTAGGGGAAGATGTCTGTAGTGCTATTTCTGGAATGTTTTAGAGAGGGGAAACTACTGAAATAGCTAAATGCCACATTAATAACCGTGATCCCCAAAAACACTATGTCGAAAGAAGCATTGAAGTATATGCCCATATCATGTTGTAATACAGTTTATAAAGGTATTTCAGAGCTGCTTAGTAAAAGACTTAGTGAGGTGTTACCAAAACTAGTGGACTTGAATTGTCAAGCAAAGATCTATATTGCATAACTTCTTGCTTATTCAGAAGCTAATATGATTGTACAAAAGGTTAATAATTAAACCTAGTTGTCTTATTAAAGTTTATTTAAGGAAAGGTTTCGATCCCATTCATTGCGGCTTTGTAGAAAATGCTCTCAGAATACCATTTTCCCCCTCTATTCATAAAATGGGTGCTAGAATATGTAACCACCAGTAGCTATTCATTAAACTTGAATGGAAATAGTACATGCCATTTTTCGGGAAAAAGAAGTTTATGGCAAGGGGTTACTCTTTGTTCTGGTCATGGAATATCTGAATAGAATGTTCAAGGAGACTGAAAAAGGATTCAAATATCACTCATTTTGCAAAAAACTGAGAATCACTAACCTTAGTTTCGCAGATGACTTGATTATAGTATGTGAGGCAGATTTGGATACTATCAGGAAAATTAAGAAGATCGTGGATCAATTTGCTAAGACGACAGGTCTATCTGTAAACTTGCAAAAATCGAATATATATTATGATGGTGTACTTGAGGAGATGAAAGCTAAAATTCAAGAAGTACTAGGTTTCCAAAATGGTTCCTTTTTCCAGTAAGATACTTAGGAGCCCCTATTTCTCCCACTGTTTGGATCCAAGATGATTGTTAGGGGATTGTTGATTGTTGATAAAATCACGGCCAGAAAAAGGTGTTGGTCCACAAGGCGCCTCTCATATACTGATAGGTTGGTGCTCGTAAACTTTGTTTTGCTGAATCTGCATACGTATTGGTCTGGAATCTTCTTATTGCCACAGGCTATTATTCAGCAAAAACAAGATGCCGAGAATACTTGTGGGGAGTAAAAGACAATGGAAGGAATTGGTCTCTGGTAGTATGGGAAGAAGTAAGTAAGACTAAAGCAGAAGGTGGTTTGAATATTAATAAACCAGGTGAATGGAACAAGGCTTTAGTTGGTAATTAAACAGCTCTAGGACTTAGCAGTGAACAAGACAAGTATGTGGATTCAATGGATTCACACCTATGATTGGAAGAAGAAGAGTATCTGGAATTATGGACAGCAGCTGGCAGTTGGTGAATGGACTATGGTCTGGAAATAGGGGAAAGCCATATACAGCTAAATTTGGGTATTTGTGGATGACAGGCAAGAAGCCAAAGCAGGCAGCAACAAAGATTGTTTGGTGCAATTTTGCAATACCAAGACCCTGCTTCAGTTGTTGGTTAGCAAGGCAGCAGGTAAGAGACAAAGGAAAATTTCTCTGAAGGACAGGCTGTTAATGGTCAAGACAGATTAGGGAAGCTCAGAATGTTGCAGGGTCCAGTAAAATGCGAGCACTATATAGGTACTCCTTCTGTCCCAAAATTATTGTCCAATTTGAGATTTCACTTTCAGTACAATTTGAACTAGAAATGAAAACTCAAACTGGATAATAATTATGGGACGGAGGGAGTATGAAAGAAAACACTGACCATCTTTCTTTGAATGTCAATATTCTCAGGAAATAATCAGTTGTATAACCGGATGGTTGAAGGTGAATGCATCTATGTTATGTCTGAGAAATAGAATTAATTGTTTGATGAGATACTGGAAGGGCAAAATGTTTAGACAAAAACTATTATTTGCCGTAATTGATGCTGCTGTGTACCACATATGGGCGGAAGGAACAGCAGAAAGTTTCGGAAAGAATTCTTGAAAGCAGAAGAAAGGTTCACAAAGTTGAAACAAGAAATCAGTTGGAAAATCCAAATTCATTGTAGGAAAATGAGTAATGACAATATACGATACTTTGGTTTGAATGTTCCTGTTATCTAATGAATGTAATAGATTGATGATAGGGTTGTATATGGCTGTTTGTACATATTGAAGCAATGCAATTTACCAATTTGCCAAAAACAAAATAATAATAATAAAAATATAAATAAACTAGGTATTATACACACTAGCATATCTGAATTTTTTTTATCTATACATTCTATCTGTCTCGCGTAGTTGGTCCTGCTATAATTATTTGTTGGATCAAATCAAATTTACTTAGTTGAAAAAAAAAAATAGTCCTTTTGTCTATATTATACTACAGATTGGAACAAATTTGAATGTTCTTATTTTTGGAGCCTTTAATATCCAATCAACAAAATCAAAACCAAGAAAAACTTTATAAGAGGAAGTAAATCTTAGTTAAGATTAACAACCAAAGTGAAAGATTGCTCCAAACTTAAACCTTACTCTTCTCTGCACGTGCAATTTCAACACAAAACTCCTCACAACATGACTCTCTTCATGGTCCGAAAACCAAATTTACACCTAAAAGAAAGCAAGTAAATCAAACTGATTACCACAGCATCAACCCTACTAAATTTACAGAAGTTTCTTAAATAAAACACAAACTATGCAGAAAATTTGAGGACTATATAGCAACCTCAAACATTATTGATGGTAGCATAAATCCTCAAATGTCCATTCATCATATCTTCCATCACCATTAAGGAAGGAATCATCAACTGCTAAATCCCAATTCTCCTCTGAAAAGGGAGTCTGGAAAAACTCCAACTCTGATTCCAAACCTGATAACCCCTCACAAACCTCATTTGCAGCAATTTGATTATTACAACTCCGTTCTGGGGAATTGACGAGATTACGATTGAGATTTTCATGATCTTCCAGAGATTGAGCTTCCTCATGATCATCAGTTACAGTATATAGGAGGGATGATATGCCCGGAATTTTAGTGAATTTTTTCCCCAAACCAAAATCAGAGTACTCTGTTTTGCTGCATTCGTCATAGCCAGAGTACTCTGTTTTGCTGCAGTCAACCCGATTTCGGTTTTCCTTGGGAGTAATCAGGGTTGATCTCCTTTTAGTCCTAGTATATTCCTGGGTACCTTGATCAGTTTCATTAGGAAAATTCACCTTCGCTTTTTGTCCCCTGATCTTCCTGGCCTCAGTATCATAAGCTCTGGCAGCATCCTCTGCACTCCCGAAAGTTCCAAGCCAAACTCGGACTCCTTTCCTCGGATCACGAATCTCAGCAGCCCATCTCCCCCATGGACGTTGTCGGATACCTCTGTATTGGTGCGGCTTCCGCTTTCTTTTCCTCAATTCATCAGCTCCATATCCATAGCCGGAAGGTTTTTTTCCAGATTCAGTTCCTTGGAGGGGAGAAAAAAAAAACCCAAAAATGGTTTTAGAAACAGAAAAGTTTCCTTATAATACTCAAAAAAAAAAGAAAAAAGAAAAAGAAAATTAGTACCTCGTAATCCAGAAGGTGAATGTTTTGAAGCAGAGAAAGCAAAAGGGTTTAAGTCTTCGAGCTCGCCGTCGTTGAAGTAATCCTTGAAATCCTGAAACTCGGTATAGAATTGGTGATCCGGGTCAATAATTTCGGATTTGACTTGGGTTGAGGACCCGTTGAAGTGTACGATGTTGTTGTTCTTCCGGGAATGATGAATCTTTGTGCTTCCGAAAATATTGGCACCAATTTCCCGGAGGAGATTGGAAGAGACTTTTGTCAGCCGCCGGGATGATTTGCTCGGAGGTACGTCGTCGGATATTATAGCACCGCCACACATGGTTGCTAGACTGGTAAACTTCTTGGATTGATTCTCGGAAAATGAGTTGTGTGTTAAATTTCAATTTGGATAGGAATGGTGAAGAAAATTGGGATGAATTTATGTTTGGTTGCTTTGGGTTGGCCCGTTTATAAAGGAAAAAAGAAAAAAAAAAGAAAAAAGAAGAAGACTCCTTAACTGTAATATGTGACGTGGAGAACGGCTCACGGCTGATGTGGTGGAATATAGATTTATTTAGTTCTTTGCCCTTGAACCTTTGATTTTACCGATATTAAAATTTTACTGTTGGATGCACTAAAGCTTCGAATATTATTAAGATTGTATAAAAGGGTATTAAGAACTCTAATCCAAAGTAAAAGTCCTCGTCGAAATTTTAAATTTTTATTATTTTTTTAAACAAATCACCAAAGGGTATACTTTTTTTTCTTTTTTTGATAGAACGAGAGCGGAAATTATAAGCTGTGCATGGCTGCACTTAGTGGCGCGTGTTCTTCACGCGCTACTACGCAGCGTGAAGCTTTCACTCGCGCACTTAATGCGCAGAGTTTTGATGTCTTTTTGTTTTTTTTTTCTTTTTTCTGTTTATTGGGGTTTATGGGTTTTTAAAATTCTCTTTAATTTTTAAATAATTTTATTTCTTAATCCATAAAAAATTAGACCAAATTTCTTATATCATTTTGATAGTACTCGATGAGATCTATCAAAGAAGATCCCTCATGAATATATTTTTGAAACTTAAAAAAATTTATTAAATAACTTTCGTCTTCCTAAAAGGCACTCTGGTCTTACTTGTTGCTCCTAAATATTGTGTGCAAATAGTTTGGTCTTTTTATTTGTTGTTGTATATCTTAACTTTTATGTATTTCCCTTGGTCTTCTTGAAAGACACAATGGCCATACTTGTTTGTACTACTGATTTTTGGTCTTTGATTCTTGGTCTTTGACCTTTGATTTTGGTTTTTGTTGTTCGCACACGCTCGTTCTTCACTCTGGTCTTTTGTCTTCGGTTTTGCGATATTTACTCTTTGTTCTTTGGTGTTTGGTTTATGCTCCTCACACACGCTCGCTCTTCACTCTGGTCTTTGCCCTTTGGTCTTAAGTTTTTAGTTTTCGGTCTTTTAGTCTTCGGTCTTTGCTCCCCACATATGCTCGTTTTTCACTTGGGTCTTTGATCTTTGGTCTTTGGTCTTCGATTCTTGGTCTTTGACCTTTCTATGTTTAGTATGTTTAGGGTTTAGGGGAGTTTGACCATTTTCGTGTCGGTTAGGGTCTAGTTATTTAGGGTTTAGGGTTTAGGGGGGTTTAAGCATTTCCGTGTCAGTTAGGGCCTAGTTTGTGCCGTAACACGATTAACCTTATAAATGTTTTTAATTAATTGGTTTAAACCCAAAAAAAAAAAATTTAGTATGTTTAGGGTTTAGGGGGGTTTGACCATTTCCTCGTCGGTTAGAATCTAGTTGTTTAGGGGGGTTTAAGCATTTTCGTGTCGGTTAGTGCGTAATTTCTGCCGTAACACGATTAACCTTCTAAATTTTTTTTAAACCAATTAAGTACGAGACCCTAGTCTAATTGGTATAAAAAAATTTAAACCAAAAAAAAATAATAATATATTTAAGGTTTATGGGGGTTTGACCATTTCCGTGTCGGTTAGGGTCTAGTTATTTAGGGTTTAGGGTTTAGGGGGGTTTAAGCATTTTCGTGTCAGTTAGGGCCTAGTGTTTGACGTAACACAATTAACCTTATAAATTTTTTTTTAAACCAAGCCTAATTGGTTACAAAAATTTAAACCCAAAAAAAAAGTTAGTATGTTTAGGGTTTAGGGGGGTTTGACCATTTCCGTGTCGGTTAGGGTCTAGTTGTTTTAGGGTTTAGGTGGGTTTAATTATTTCCGTGTCGGTTAGGACCTAGTTTCTGCCGTAACACAATTAACTTAATAAATTTTTTTTGAACTAATTAGGCTACGAGACCCTAGCCTAATTAGTTTTAAAAAATTTAAACAAAAAAAATAGTATGTTTAGGGGGATTTAAGAGTTTAGGGGGGTTTGATAATTTCCATGTCGGTTAGGGTTTAGTTGTTTAGAGTTTAGGGTTTAGGGGGTTTAAGCATTTCTGTGTCGATTAGGGCCTAGTTCGTGCCGTAACACGATTAACCTTATAATTTTTTTTAAACCAATCAGGATAGGGTCTCGTTTAAAAAAAAAATTTAAACCGTAGCCTAATTGGTTTAAAAAAATTTAAACCCAAAAAAAAATAGTATGTTTAGGGTTTAGGGGAGTTTGACCATTTTCGTGTCGGTTAGGGTCTAGTTGTTTAGGATTAGGGGGGTTTAAGCATTTCCGTGTCGGTTAGAGCCTAGTTTGTGCCGTAACACGATTAACCTTAAAAATTTTTTTAAATGATTTAAAAAAAATAATATGTATAGCGTTTAGGGGGATTTAAGGGTTTAGGGGGGTTTAAGTATTTCCGTATCGGTTAGGGCCTAGTTTATGCCGTAACACGATTAACCTTATAAATTATTATATACCAACTAACTTTGGCTTTTGGTCATTTAGTCTTTGTTTCTCACACTCGCTCGCTCTTCACTCTGGACTTCGGTCTTTAATCTTTAGTGTTTGGTTTTTAGTATTTGACCTTTTGTCTTTGGTCTTTGTTTTTCACATACCAAACCGAATATAAGACCAAAGATCAAGGCAATTGCATAATTTTTTTAATGTTTTTAAAAAAACATTAAAAATCGAAGGCAATGTTTTTAATATTTTTAAAAAAACATTAAAAAACATTAAACAAACAAACACGATACTATATTCAGAGCGTCTTTTATGAAGACCAAGGCAATTGCATAATTTTTTTAAAATTTCAAAAAACATATTCATGATGGATCTTGTTGGATAGATCTCATTGAGTACGATCAAAATAATATAAGACAATTATCTAATTCTTTACGGTTTAAGAAATAAAATCATTTGAAAATTTAGAAGAAAATTAAAATCCATTTCCTAAAATTGAGGAATTGAGGCGCGTGTGTTTCATGTTAAAAAAATTGATATGTGCTGAAGAAGAGGAAGTGGACTGCGCGTGTCTTCACATTAAGTGCACCTACCTACATACACTTAATACTTACGGTATAATAACTCGAACGAGAGTGAACTTTGAACTAAGGATTGCAATGAAAACATAAACTCTTTTGAACTCGGATTGTTGTGTATAGAAGTCGTGGATGCATATAATAAATTTCAGAATTCAATATGATTTTTTTTTCGGGCCTATATATAGAATATAACATAAATTAAAATAGTATAATAAAATAGAAAGAATGTTGTCTTCTTTTTTTTTTTTTTTCAGTTTCCAATGAAAACTTATCCAAATCCATCAAGGTCAATGGCTAAAAAGAAAGAGAAATGCTGATAGTGGTGAAATTGATCAACCAATCAATTTCTTTCTTAGCACCTGCTAGTTTGCCCATGATTCACGGGGACGAGAACTGAGAATCAATTACTAAAAAGGAGTTCGGCAAAAGTAAGAAGATGATCATGAGTACAAAATATACTCATTTCATACCATTTTTATGTTTTTTACAAACAGATAGAACAATTATCTCGAAACTAAAGAATATGCTGCAGGTAGCTAGCATCATTTGGTATGCACATACGTTGATGGTGGTTTGCTACTTGGTCCTTTTACAGTATTACAGTTCCTCTTTTCGATTTGTGTAATCTTCCGATGAATGTGATTGGAAGAAACTCAAAATAGTCCAAAGGGGAAAAGCCCACCAACTTGCTCAACTTGCTTCCAATGATGCACGTAGTGATACTAACGTTGCTCAAGTTGCTAAGGTTTGTTAAGAATACTTTAATTTAATCTTACTTTTTGTATATATTTAAAGTTAATGAAACACCATAAACCAGACGCAGTTTTGCGCTGATGAGAATAGATCAACACCCTAATCATAACTTAACTGCCTTAATCCCTGGAATCAGAAACTAAAACACCACAAACCGGTCACAGTTTTATGCTGCGTAACAAAATAAATACATTATTGTTGGCTTATCCGCATAATCTCACATCATGCGTGGCAACCGTACAAATTAGACACTGAAATATAAAGCGTATATGAATTTATTTAACATTTCTCATGCCCTCTATACAATTAACCAAATTGGTTTTTTTTTTGTCAATTAACTATTTTTTTTTCTAAGACGGAACAAGTATTATTTTACTAAATTAAAAAAATAATTATTTTGACATAAAGAAAATACTGTTATAAAATAAATATAAACTACAAAATAAGAACTATGAGAGAGAGAGAAAGAAGGGATTCAGGTGAATCTTATTTGATAGGCACTGATCTCTAATTGGATTTGGGAGAAGATTTAAAATGTAGTTTGGTTTTGGGTGCTGATCGTTTTAGTCCCTAAAGTATTTTTCAGTTCAATTTTCGTCCCTAATATTTTTCACATGATAAAATTAGTCCTTATATTTTTTTTTTCAAAATTACTCCTATTGGCCGGATCCGGCCACTATTCCGGCAAAATATGATTTTTTGCATATTTTCTTCAAAATTTTGTAATTTTATCAATTTTACTCCTTTTTTTATATAAAAAAATCAATTTAACCCAATTTTAACTTTAGCACATCACCTTTTTATTTTTAATCTATTTACTTTTATTTATCAAAATCAAATCTTTCTATCTAAAAATGTAAAATGTCCTACATTGTTTACTTTATTCTCTCTCGTTTTTTGTTTGTGATAAAAATGAGAGAGAATAGGGTAAATAATGTAATAATTTTATATTTTTAGAAGTACGATAGGACTGGATAGCATATTTATATGTCATATTTTTATAGGATGTTTTTATTCCCCTAGCCTAGTTGTAAACCAATTATCAAATCTTTTACCATTGTACTCATAAAATAAAAAATAAATAAAATAATAATGTAACTTAAAATAACACGTCCAGAATACTAAAATAAATTTTAATAAATAACATTATATTAAATAAATTTATTATGAAAAATTATTTTAGTAAAATTTACATTCACAAAAATTTGTTGAAATTTGTTTTATGTTTTTCACTCTAACGCTTTATTTTTACTTGACTAACCACCTTTTCATATTAAAAAA